ACCGGCAGTGATAACCCATCTAATCTTCCTTTGTGGTAGTACTCCTTTCCCTTACAGTAAATGCTTTTGAGAGGGGGCAACTTGGTTAAATGGGACAGTTTATAGCGGGAGTGAAAGATGATGCTAGAACTTGTGGCAACTTAGGCAGTTGGTATACGTTAACCAGCGGTTCTGCTATCGCGAAAAATGATGCCCACCCGTGTCCCACAGCATGATAGGCGCAGAGACGGTGATTTGCGCGTGGATTAGTTTACAGTGATAGCCGGTTTGCGCCGCATACATTGAACTCTATCCTCCTCTGCCACCTTGGCATGATGAAAGTATAGAAACTACACACCCGAATGCAAGCTCGGGCGCACTGGCTGATAACCATGCCACCCACGACCTAGTTTTTGCTTAGATTATCAGATTTTAAGGAAAAAGGGCGTCTCAAATCTCATCAGTTGGGAAATACCATAGAGGCCACATTCAGAAGGAGTCTCTGAGCCCGACTGTCCATCCTAAGAGGACTGAGTTATCCAGTTCGTTGGCAGCCTTGCAAACTGCGATTTCTAGCGCGTAATGATAAATGCAAGCGCATCAGGTGCATTTTACTGAGGAATGCGCTGATACAGTACGGCCTAGAATTCGGGTAACATGCCGATATATGTGAAAGATTAATACCCTTTCTGCACAACCGATTAATGCTTGCCCCGGTTCAAACTAGCTCAAATGCTAGGCCTGAGGTTTGTGGAAGTCTGCAGCTAAGTGCCCTCCTGGCCGAATGTGTGCTTGCCCGAAAGTCGAGATCACGTGACGCTTGACATGATGTGTATACAACGGACAGAAGGGTAATACACGCCTGAGATGCTGCAAACTCCTTTGGCACATTAATAGCTTTTTAATACTACTCAATTCACCATACTTGTTTTTGGAATTGCTTCACCCGCCAGTGACACCATTTTCGCGGCGTCATTTTTCAATAAGTACACGATGCAAGCGAACTCAATTTCCTTCTGTGCTGAAAAGATTAAACCTTGTTTTTTTTTACAAATACAAGACCTTTTAGGACCCCGCCTCATCCGCTGTCTGAAATCCAAACTGCTGACCCAGCTGCCAATAACGCTGAAACATTTCGAACAGGGGGATACGACGTGTGTGTATCTACTGGGACAATCGAATACAGACTTCCAGCAGCGAAATTAACTACGTAAAGGAAATTTAGTGCGAAATAGTCTTGTATAAGGATGTCACCGTTTGTTAGCATTAATTTATCTACCGAGGCTTGTAACTCAAACATGAATGATGAGTTCTCCCAAACTTGGGCCTCTCTATATGGGCGGCCAGTTTTATCCAGAACGGCTTGGGGTCGCGTCTATAGTTGGGTAAATAGGAAACCGCAGTTGCTTTTGTCATTCACGGCGGGTAACAAAGTCCCCCTCCCATTAATCCAGCCGTGGCGTTGGGCGAGAACGTTATGTGTAACAAGTGAGCACATATGACCACTCACTCTGGAAAATTTGTCTACACAGTCTTACCTGATGGTGATCAGTTGGCCGATCGATAGGGTAATTTCATTTATTTGTGCTATAAAAATGCAGGCCACAGCTTCGTAGAGCGCCGTTCCATCCATGTTCACTGTCGCGCCGATAGGCAAGACGAAACGTGTCACGCGGGCATCGATTCCAAGAGTCTCCTCCAAGCACCTGCAGATCAAAAACGGAGAGAAATGGATAAGGAGGGGGAAGGGAAGTATAAGGACAAATTTTCATTGGGTCATGCGGACTAAATTAGCAGTTTTTTTGGATCGCAAGCTAACCTTGAATAATTTTGGGGTACGCACATGAAATTTTTTTGTCATTCTCCTTTGACAACAAGCAATTAAGAAAAGATGTCTTTGCAGATAAATCCGGCAGGCTATCTCAACATGTACTATATTTTTACTTGAGCATTAGATTACTCAGGTCATAGCGATGAAGAGTTACACAAACACTCGTTGATGAACGTTCATCGATCACTAACGGAACTCTCTCATCCCGCTCTGCCTTGAGGCTCATTCTCGAGTCCCGTCAGCAGCCACAACGCGGCGAGTAGTCCCGGCAGATAGCATTGCCGGCAAAAGCAAAGGAGGCTAGAATGTTCGTTTAGCGTTCGCACTATCTAATATTATTCATGAATATTTTATGCATAATTACTTCATATACACTGGAGATTGTTTAGCGACCATCTTATATATGAGTCCTTATTTTTTATTTCCATAAAATATCTTCACGTTTGAGTAAGGTAGAAATTTCTTTAAGGATACCGTTTCTAGCTGAACTTAATAAAACTTTTAAGAGATAATTTAATGTTAAAGCTGGATTAAAGACTAAGGTTAGGGTGTCCCCGCCGCTAAACGCGTTACAAACTCTAACCTTCGTTAACCAATAAACGCCGACTTCATGTTTTCCGCCAGTTTACACCCTCCTAATTTGACTGTTGCGTATTTCGCGCCTGCTTCAGCGCTCCACTGTCGCAATAAAACAAGCCTGTGCTAGAAATTCGAGTATTCTCAATGTCTTCCACATACTCTGCACATTAACTCTCCCATTCGCCACGTTGATAAAATTTAATATTACAAACCTTCCCGTTTTACTGGCGCCACTGCGCTCTATTTTCTCAAGGCCGAAGATTTAGGGCAGGAATTTTCTAGAGTAAGCCCACAGGTCCACAATATTTTCCATAAAGCACACACTCTCTTACACACACAGAACGGGCTAATCGTAGTAACTCTAGAAAGTGTGCAAGCAGCAGTTTGCTTTTGTCTGTCTTAGAAAAAGAATACAACTAGACAGCATCTCTGGGGAAGAGGAATAAGCTGCTGCCGCCCTTAATTTTAAAATATCACTTGCTCACACGTGGCATTATTTGCGGTCTCACACTCTTGAGAATTATTTAGATGTTTGTCCAATTTTTCAGTTAGCCAAGTGTACGCAGCTTCAGGATTGTCAATTTTAAAGTATATGATTTGGTCTCGATCGATTACAGCAATTTATGAACGCCAAGAAGCGACTTCATAGTAGTACGAAACGCTAAAGAAGCCAGCCCAGGTCGATATCTATGTGGTGTCATGAGACAAAGTAGGTGATTTTGCACAATAGCAGAAATGAAACGAGAAACTTTACTAAAATGAAATTAGTAGCACACTTATATAAATTAAAAATATATAAAACACCACTCGTTTCCGATGCAGATCGTTTCAAACGCGTACTTCATTTCCTAATCTGAGGTTGGTCAAGACGTTGTTGAAAGGTATGAAACACCCCAGCTCCATCCTCGGTGGCGGAACGAGCGTTCCGTTTTCACACAACCATATGTTATATGTTTTTTCTGCTC